AGACTATAGACTAGACTATAGACTAGACTATAGACTAGACTATAGACTAGGACTATAGACTAGACTATAGACTAGACTATAGACTAGACTATAGACTAGACTATAGACCAGACTATAGACTAGACTATAGATTAGACTATAGACTAGACTATAGACTAGACTATAGACTAGACTATAGACAAGACTATAGACAAGACTATAGACTAGACTATAGACTAGACTATAGACTAGACTATAGACTAGACTATAGACTAGACTATAGACTAGACTAGACTATAGACTAGACTATAGACTGGACTATAGACTAGACTATAGACTAGACTATAGACTAGACTATAGACTAGACTATAGACTAGACTATAGACTAGACTATAGACTAGACTATAGACTAGACTATAGACTAGACTATAGACTAGACTAGACTATAGACTAGACTATAGACTAGACTATAGACTAGACTAGACTATAGACTAGACTATAGACTAGACTATAGACTAGACTATAGACTAGACTATAGACTAGACTATAGACTAGACTATAGACTAGACTATAAACTAGACTATAGACTAGACTATAGACTAGACTATAGACTAGACTATAGACTAGACTACAGACTAGACTATAGACTAGACTATAGACTAGACTATAGACTAGACTATAGACTAGACTATAGACTAGACTATAGACTAGACTATAGACTAGACTATAGACTAGACTATAGACTAGACTAGACTAATAGACTAGACTATAGACTAGACTATAGACTAGACTATAGACTAGACTATAGACTAGACTATAGACTAGACTATAGACTAGACTATAGACTAGACTATAGACTAGACTATAGACTAGACTATAGACTAGACTATAGACTAGACTATAGACTAGACTAGACTAGACTAGATTATGGAATAGACTATAGACTAGACTATAGATTAGACTATAGACTGGATTATAGACTAGACTATAGACTGGATTATACGCTAGACTAAAGACTAGACTATAGACTAGACTATAAACTAGATTATAAACTAGACTATAGACTAGAAATAAATTGTAATTGTATTGGTCTCAGTTTTACCAAAATATTCACACTTGTTTCACGAAAATGTGAATTTTAAAATACATTTTTACTCACATGGAAATTTGTAAGCATCATTTTCTTTTAATCTCCAACAAGACAGTAGCCACTAATTCAGTGTCGCCCGACTGTGTGGCACTCTGAACAGCACGATCATACTTGCCCAATTTTAATAATAGCGGCACTTGTAATGATGCCCTGGGTTCCAACTCTAGTAACTACAAGCAGATAAAACTTATTATATAAACAAGCAAGTGTATAGTATTATTTTTGCTTACTTTAATTGCTAATTCATCACGTCCAGCTTCATGAGCTTTTTCTGCTATATTACAAAACGATATACCTTCAACAGAGGGATTTTTGAATTTTTCAGTTATTTTACGAGCAACTTCATGGTCATCTAAAGAAATTTAAATAATTATTATTTACATTGATTGCTTCAGATTGAGATTCCTTTCGCTTACTTTTATCATTTATAACCTTGTGATATGCCCAATGTTCTAATATCCAAGATTCTGGCAATTTTAAATGTTTTGCAACTTGTATAGCAATGGCATAGTGTTTTCGAAATACTAAACGTCCTAGAATAACATCTGGTTTTAAATGTAAAAATCTATGAGGAAATTAAAGATAAAAATATAATTATAAAGTTATTAAAATTATAAAAATGTACTCACTGTTTAATGGTTAAAGGCATGGCTATTTTGGGATGCCGCAAGCCATTTAAAACTCTTAATATACGCAGCATTTTAATATATTCGTCAGGATTATGAGATTTAATAAAACCTTTGCCAAAGTAGGCAGTCTAAAAAAAAGCATTTTAATTTAAAATTTATAAGATTTTTTAATAATTTAAATTAACCTTACCCTCATTAAACTTTTTTGTGTTTCTGTACAAAACTCATAACCAGCTGCCTCTATACACTCATCTACGGCTTCGTTCATGCGATCACGGAATAGACTCAAGTATTCATCAGATTGATGTGATTTTTCTTGGAATTTTTTCTGAGCCTCAAATAGAAAACTCGATGGTTCCTGACTATTAATGGCAAATATATTCTGTACACATTTTGGCAATTTCTGTATCATTTCGTGAGTGTTATTTGTGAGAATACGAACACCATCCATTTCAGCAACCAGAAAAATAGCCGGATCATAACTAAATAGATTTTTATCACCATTACGATTGACAACCAATAAAAATGAATTATATGCTATGACTACAGCATCGGATTGTGCGTTGTCAACGTTCATAATCCATTCGATCTGCTTTGGCATATCTTTGCGTCCAGTATCAAACTCACAATATTTTTGTTTCATATCCACGCTACCCATCCATAAAATACCATTATTTGTATATAAAGCCAAATTCTGATGATTATAAGATATAGACATTGAAATGATGCGTTCGAAGGGTTTACTAATTAAATTGCGTGTTATTGAGCCCACAGATTCTCCCAAAAATAATTTAATAACTTCACGATCTCTTCCCAAGAGACAATAGCTATTGCGTTCTTCCGTCACAATTTCCCAGCAAGTGCATTCGGAGAGAGATTCTGTGAAAAAAATTATTAGTGAAAAGGTGAATTTCACTAGAGATTAGTTCGGCTGTATGGGTTTCATCGTTACAGGTTAATAAAAACATGCAACAAATTTCATTAAATTATATTTACAATTACAACCTGAACTTTGCGCATACAGCCGGGCAAAAGAATAAGATTAAGTCAACTCAGACCTACCTACCTACCATATATCTGTAAAGTAAATGTGTATACGATTTTACTTACTCGGAATCTCTGGCAAGAGTCGAGAACGATTATCTTTAGTACTATTGAGTTTTAAGAAAACACGTCCGTTTGTAGTCATAACAGCCACACCCGTTCCAGTTGATGATTGATATATTTTGGCATCCACAATTTTGGTTAAACTAGCTTCCTGGCCCATACTATAGGAATATCTTTCATTACCAAACATATCGTAAATAAAAACTAATGCATCATCCTGTACACAAATCAACTCTTCCGTATCGGACCAACCCATTGAAATCAATTTACCATGATTCCACTGAAATCAGAAGCAATCATTGTCTAGTTTAAGATAATATTTACATACATATATCTTTAAACTTACCCAAATTTTTCCCAATTCTAGGCCTGCTGTATCGAATATGCGTATAACAGGTTTAGCAGTACCTTTAATTGGCACTATTTGATTAGGATCTCTTGTCACCGCTATTGGACCGCCATACGGAGCACATACCACTTTCATATATTCTAAATCCAAATCTAATGGCCAATCTGGTGTATGTAAATCGAGTTTCCTGTTTTATTGATGATTGAAAAGTGGGTGTAAACTGCACTTTTAAATGCGATATACATATGAAGGTATTTACCTGTAAGTTGTGGGTCGCAAAACGAACCAATCGCCAGTATTGTACATAATCGGCATTTTTAATTATATATGTTTTTATCTTTTCTTGAATTTTTTAAATATTTGTAAATTTAATGTTATTTTTTTGCAAACAAATTATGACAGTAGTAAACAGAGATAAAAATTAAAACAAGGGATATTTTAGGAAGATGGCATTTACAATTTTTGTTTATATTTAATTTGACACATCAGACTACAAGTAAATCTTTTTTTCTATGTATAATTTGACATTTTTCCGTTCAATTTCCTTAACCAGTTGTGTTTCTAATATCATCTTTCGTAAATTCCCTCGAATAAAAAATGTAATTTGTTTTGATCAGCTGTCGTATAAAATTAATTGAGTTGCCGTATTACAGAAATATTTTACCGAACAGAGTGTGGCCATAAGATTACTTTTATAAGTAACGGTAGGAAATTTACATTTGAATAATTTAAATAAATCGAATTTTCAATATTTCTTTATAATATAAATATAAACAATTATATCTTTTTGAGTAATGTTTTTTTCTATAGTGTTTCTATTGAATAAATTTTATACACATTTTTTTTTTGAAGTTCGAAGCAAGCTTTAATTTTCGGTGGGCACATCAGTACTCAGTGTGGAGCTCATATAAACATGGGGAAAATCCCCATACTTTATACAGTAAATTACAATTAATACATACATACATATTAGGGTGATCGACTCGATTTTTCACCCGGTTTTAAAACCGGTTTTTTCTGCTTTACCAGTGTCGGTTTTTTCTTAATGTTGATTTTTCGAATATCGAATAACCCGGTTTTTTCACTTTTTAAAAACCGGTTTCGCATACTTTTATTTGCTTTGTATTCAAAGATTATTTAAATGAAATTTTTAAGTAAATAATAATACAGCTAAATTTTAAAATTATTTGAGTCGAGGAACTAGCGTATATTTTTCTAAAGCTCCTTTGGTTAAACTTTTTTGATTTTCCTAATTAATTAAAAAAAATTATTTGTAAAATTGATAACTGTTTGATAAAATTTTATCAATCTTAAGATTATATTCAATTTACAATAATTAATTTACGGCTGAAATTTTATGGAAGTGTTGTCCTAAACAGGGCTTTTGAAATAAGATAGGATTACATAGTACCTTATGTTTAACAGAAGTGTCCCACTTTTTTCCTAATTTTTTTATATTAATGAAATAATGTAAATCAGACGACTAGATCTATAGTTATAATCTTTTAAACTGTTAAAAATCATTTCTGGCCATGTTTTATTAATCAAATTTAAACATAAACATTAAGTTTTTCAAATTAAAATATTTTTTTTTTATTTATAATGAAAAACCGGTTAACCGGTTTTTTCTGAATTTGAAAAATATCAACCGGTTTTTTTTAAATGCCAACTATTCGAACTATTCGAAACCGGTTTTTGGAAAATGTCGAATAATCGATCACCCTAATACATATATAGTATATATGTTGTAGTATATATACCGCAAAAATTTTAGAATTGTAATCATTTTATAAAAAAATGCAGTGCAATTGTTTGTTATAAATAATTAAAACAACAGTACGGAAAATGAACGTTAATCCAATTGCAGAGACGAAAGGCATTGAAGTCTTAAATATCAAACCAAATGAAATCGAAGAAACTACAACAGGTGTCGAGGTCACGGTTAACGATGAACAAAATGATATTGTAGATCCATGGAATGTGGCTAGTAACAGCGACACTGGAATCGATTATGACAAATTAATAAGTAATTTATTTATTTGTAAATTATGCCTTTCCTAATTCTTTTCATACATTCAAGAACGTTTCGGTTCGTCCAGAATTGATGATGAGCTAATTGAACGTATAGAAAAGATAAGTGGTAAACCAGTACATCATTTAATACGTCGAGGTATTTTCTTTTCACATCGTGAGCTAAGCACTATTTTAACTTTGAAGGAAGAAGGTAAACCGTTTTATTTATATACTGGACGCGGTCCTAGTTCCGAATCGTTGCATTTAGGACATTTAATACCTTTCATAATGACAAAGTAGGTTCAAGCATTTTGTTTTCGGCACTTGTTGTAATTATTTATTTTTAAAACTATTATTTTATAGATATCTTCAAGATACATTTGATGTACCATTGGTTATACAAATGTCTGATGACGAAAAGACTTTGTGGAAAGATTTGAAAATAGAAGATGCTATAAAATTGGCTCATGAAAATGCTAAAGATATTATTGCTATGGATTTTGATGTGGAGAAAACATTTATATTTAATGATTTAACATTTATGGGGTAAGTAAATTAGAGAAAAAAATTATTATGAGGTTATTTATCTCCAAGTTATTTAAATCTTAATTTAGAGTCCTTTTTTAATTATTATACTATATATTAGCGATAACATTTTTCTTGCTGGATAAAGTAAAATACATATAGTATACTTATGTACATATTTATTTATCTAGATATTGCAAAAGTTTCTTTTTACTTAACAACAAGTTCAAGGGTAATTCCCTTTATCTTTGAATTTAATATGATGAAATATTTTTTTCTTTGTTGCCTATTTATTGCGCAAATAAATCAATTGCGAAGTTAATGATTAATCATTCGTAAAAAATATATAGAGAACAAAAAGGGGAAATGGTAAAGTGTGGGAGTAGATATATATCTGCAGTCACAATGGATAACAGGCTAATGTCAATTTGAAATACAATTGCATAGTTATTAATTTGCAAATTACAAATTTTGAACTTTTTACTTTACAATAAATAATTATTTTTAAAGTAAAGAACATTAAGGGCCAATCTTTAGGTGAAAGATTAGCGATTAAATTAAAATTAATCCTCGAAAGATGTTTTTGAGTACTCAATTAGTTAATTTTGTTTGCAAGTTTAAGCGCCCAATGGAGGTGGTTTAATCTTAAGCACGAAATGCAAAAGTGTAAACAGCTGATGCAAAAAAAATTAAAAAAAAAATTTATAAATATAAACATTAAAATGTTCTATTTATTGATTAGTATAAATTATGGACACTTCAAAATACATTTTTTTGTTTTTAATTTAAGTTTTCATTAATTTTCATATTAAATTTACAATTGTCTTCTTCTTTTTTATAAAATATGCATTGTTTTGATAACAAACAGTGAAATTTTCTGTTGTTTTGTATGGCAACACTGCGAAGTTTAATCTTGTACTCAAAAACATCAAATGGGATTAACATCGGATTAAATTTATTTTTAGATTAACTAATCTGATTATTAATTGGCATTTGATTGCCAACTCAAAAACCCGGTCTAATTCTCTACAGAATTAACTCACCTTAATTTTTAATTCAGTTTTAAATTTTTAAATGTTTTAATTCTTTGGCTATATTAGTTTATTTCAATTATCAAATAGTTTATTTCCTACCATTATTATTTTTATTTAATTTTCTATTACAATTTTTTTTAATTCTATTTCAAAAATACAAAAATTTTTGAATTATAAAATACACAGAAAAAAGTTTCAGCATAAATATTATGAACTGTTTTCATTGACTAAAGTTAATAATATAGAAGAAAAACAAGAATTAAGCAATTTATTCAATCGAATTAAAAAAAATATTAATTCAATTGTTGTATATATTTTTTATTAGCCAATGTCCAGCAATGTATCAAAATGTCATACGAATCCAAAAATGTGTTACTTTTAATCAAGTTAAAGGTATATTTGGTTTTGAAGATTCAGATCTTATTGGCAAAATTGGATTTCCCGCTGTGCAGGCTGCTCCAGCACTTTCGAACACATTTCCATTCATATTTGGCGATCGTAAAGTACACTGTCTAGTACCGTGTGCCATTGATCAAGATCCCTATTTCAGAATGTGTCGAGATGTGGCTCCACGTTTAGGTTATCCCAAATGTGCCCTAATACATTCATCTTTTTTCCCCGCATTACAGGGTGCCAAATCAAAAATGTCTGCAAGTGAAGAAAATTCGGCAGTATTTTTAACAGATACACCGAAACAAATTAAAAATAAAATTAATAAATATGCATTTTCGGGTGGTCGTACTACCGTCGAGGAACACAGAACCTTGGGTGGTAATCCAGATATTGATGTGGCTTATCAATTGCTAAAATTCTTTATGGAGGATGATGAAGAATTGGAGAGAGTTCGTTTAGCCTACAGTAAGGGTGAAATGTTAACGGGAGAAATTAAACAATTGGCAATTGAAGTAAGTTTATTGCAAAATAATTATACAATATAAGAGTTCTCTTTATAAATATTATTTTAAAGGTTATTACTCCGTTAGTGGAAGAGCACCAAGCCGCTCGTAAACTCGTTACCGATGAAATGTTACAAGACTTCATGAATATTCGTCCCTTGAAATTTGGTGGCTGTACAATTTAAAATGTTTTTGCTTTAGTATTAAATTTTCTAAATAAATTTGTTTATAAAATTTCACTTATACTTTTCTTATAAAGAATGAATTTCCTTGGTAATTAATTCAATGGGATCCAAAGCTAAAGAATTAAACTTCTGAATTTTCAAATTAATGAATGGTATTTATTTATTTGAAACTATTAAAGGAGTTTTAAATATCACCTTTTAGAACAAACCTAGATCCGTGAGCCAGTTTGTATTGTGTACATTTTTAAGTGTTTATTATCACATTTTCAGTAAAGGGGTTTTTCAAATACCGGCTTCGCTAATAATACATTTTTTTATAAAAATTGTTCTGGTTCCTGTTGTATATGTATAACTTTGAAGTCTCATAATTCTGAAAACAAAAGAGACCATACGAAAATATTTATTTCCCTAGGCTTAAAATCGAACCCTCTTATTTTTAACTAATCCTATTTAAATACAAATAATTTTTAGGTTCAGATATTAAGTTGATAACGGAACATTAGAAATTTGTTTTTAGCCACTCACTAGTAATGGTTTTAAATTAAAAAATCTGGCAATAGGGTTAAAAGCGTTGCCATATTTATATTAGAAGGTAAATCCCTACAATATACACCGCTCAGCAATACATGTGTCATCTTTTGCCGTGTAGTATTTATACAACGACACGTTTTGCATTGCAGTCTTTTTTTTTTTGGAAATTGCAGTGCATTTATTTGTTTGGATTAAAGAATTGAATCAATTTGTGGAATATGAGTGATAATCAAGTGGCAGTAGCAGAAGGCGTTGAAGCCATAAGTCTTAATCCAAACGAAATCGAAGAGACAGCAACGGGTGTTGAAGTCACGGTCAATGATGAACAAAGTGATGTGGTGAATCCATGGAATGTGACTAGTAGTAGTGATACTGGAATCGATTATGACAAATTAATAAGTAAGTCGGTAGAAAGTTTTGACGCTGCATAGTTTTGCTTATTATTTGTTAATTTTCTAGAACGCTTTGGTTCCTCTAGAATTGATGATGAAATGATAGCACGTATTGAAAAGATAAGTGGAAAACCTGCTCATCATTTGATACGTCGTGGTATATTCTTTTCACATCGTGAGTTAAATACCATCTTAACATTGAAGGAACAAGGTAAACCTTTTTATTTGTACACCGGACGTGGTCCTAGTTCGGAGTCATTGCACTTGGGTCATTTGATACCATTCATAATGACAAAGTAAGTTATTGTTGTTTCATTGCTAAGTGGTAAGCGTTTTATTCATTAGTTTTTTAAAATTTCATTATAGATATCTTCAGGAAACATTTGATGTACCTTTGGTTATTCAAATGTCTGATGACGAAAAGACTTTGTGGAAAGATTTAAAAGTAGAAGCCGCTATAAAATTGGCACATGAAAATGCTAAAGATATAATTGCCATGGGTTTTGATATTGAGAAGACATTTATTTTTAATAACTTGACATTTATGGGGTAAGTAGTTAAAATTAATTATGATTGCAATTTGTCCATAATTGGACACAACTACTATAATCTTGGTATTATTATTCCAAATATCGGTACTTAATTTTTATTAATCACTTTCTATATTCATCTTGTATAGCCAATGTCCAGCAATGTATCAAAATGTTATACGTATTCAAAAATGTGTTACTTTTAATCAAGTAAAAGGTATCTTCGGTTTTGGAGATTCAGATATAATTGGTAAAATTGGATTTCCTGCAGTGCAGGCTGCTCCAGCTCTTTCCAGCACATTTCCTTTTATATTTGGCGAACGTAAGGTACACTGCCTAGTACCTTGTGCAATCGATCAAGATCCCTATTTCCGTATGTGTCGAGATGTGGCGCCACGATTGGGTTATCCCAAGTGTGCCCTAATTCATTCAACATTTTTCCCCGCATTACAAGGAGCCAAGTCGAAAATGTCTGCTAGTGAACAAAACTCTGCAGTATTTTTAACGGATACACCGAAACAAATTAAAAATAAAATTAATAAGTATGCATTTTCTGGTGGTCGTACTACCGTCGAGGAACACAGAGCCTTGGGTGGTAATCCAGATATTGATGTGGCTTACCAATTGCTAAAATTCTTTTTGGAAGATGATGCTGAATTGGAGAGAGTTCGTTTAGCCTACAGCAAGGGTGAAATGTTAACTGGAGAATTAAAGAAATTAGCTATTGAGGTAAGTTTAAAAAAAAAAATAAGATCATAGAATAGATTTGTATATACATTTTCATTCCAGACTGTTACCCCTATTGTGGAGCAACATCAAACCGCTCGTAAATTAGTAACCGATGAAATATTGCAAGATTTTATGAAAATTCGTCCCTTGAAATTTGGTGGCTGTTAAATTAAATATATATATTTATTGAAAATATCCTTAAAAACGTACATATGTTTAACCAGATATTTGCTTTTGTATTAAATTAAATTCTAAGATCACATTTACATTTAACTTAATATAATTAATTTTTTGTATGTATGTTCGGTTTAAGTAATAACTTATAAACGCTTTGCTATGCAATAAATAATATTAATATTATTTAACGAAATAAAACATCTTAATGGTTGGTTAATGTTTTTGTGAAAATATTAGATTTTTTATTTAAATTATTTAACATTATTATTATAAAAGTAAATGAAGCTATTCACATAAACTTACATACTAAAAATGAAATTGGTATATTCGTAGAAAAAGTCCCATTGGAATAAATGAGTAAAGAATATATAATAAGGAAATAATTAAATATATTTTTCTTGTACAAAGAATATAAAAGAAACAGGCATCACAGAAATAATCCATCAAACATTTCGTTTTAAGTAATGTCCGATAATATAAGTTTAGCGTATGGCTTGAGCCATATGCAATGGTGTAACCATAAGCGTTAGTTCGGCATCTTTAAGATTGGCTCCTCTCAGGTTTGCTTCCTGTAAATCACTGCCAGATAAGTTACAACGTTCCAAGTCAGCGCCAGCCAATACTGCAGCCCGCAAATTGCAGTTTTTCATATTAGCATTTTTAAGATTGGCAACTCTGAGGTTTACTCCAGCCATATTAGAACTTTCTAAGCACGCACCTTTCAGATTAACGCCCTCAAGATTAGTACGCAAACCTGACGGATCTTCGAAATTGCAACCCCTTAGGTTAGCACCTTCCATGTTGGCACACAAGCCTTTAACCGATACAAGTTGAGCACATTCCAAATTTGCAAAAGCTAAATCCGTGCGTTCCAAACAGCAATATGTTAGATTAGCATGAGACAAATTGCATCTTTGCATGCAAGCGTACTGTAAAGAAACTGAGACTATAGACTGAATAATAAAGTGAATTAGGAAGAAAAAACCTTAAAATTTATGTTACGGAAATCCAGCTTTCTTAAGTCAGCTCCGGCTAAGTTTACACCCTGGAAACGTATCTCTGTTATATGTGAGGTTTGTATTAAAGCTTTAATAACATCTCTTCGAGTCAACGGTATATTATCCATTGACTGGTTCTGTTGTATTATTTGTGGTTCTAACTGGCTAACCAATGTTTCCAAGCCAAAAAATTTTGCCTCTTCTAAAACTCCCTCCAAACTGACATTTTGATCCACTATCAATTGACCGTGCCTTAGATAGTTTATAATTGGTTCAAAATAATGTGGACTGCGATCTATTAAATAGGCGCCTTGTTCATCCTGGTCACTTGGAAGCATCGCGCCTTCTTGTGAAAACATACGTGCCAACATACTCTCTGGTTCTTTACTTACCAATGTCCATATTGTGGTAAGAAAAACCTTCCCACCGACATTTAATTTTATCCATTTGGAAGATGAGAATTCTTTAATCATTACTTCATTCGCAGTTGCAATAGAGGTACTAAATTTGTCAGCTGTCTTAGAGCTGCTATTCTCTGGGTTTGTTTCAGTATTTTTCACATTTTCATTTAATAATTTTGTAGTTATACCATTATTTTCTTCAATATTCATAATATATCAATTTATGCTTTTATTTTGTAATTAAATGTAACGAGATAAAAATGTTAATGCCCCTTCGAAAAAAAATTCATCTGATAATTCTACATATTTTATTTTGATATCAGTTTAGCACTTGTTCCTTTTGATGTTTTCATTCTCATAGTAATAGTGCCATATGTTTAAATGTTACAATTGTGTTATCAATTTCCCATGATTACAATTATAACATTTAAACAACAACAAAATTAAATAGACAAAAACGACAGGAGCATTTAAATTCAATTTTGTTGTCAAAGTTACGGAAAAATATATTAAATGCAAATTTATAAATAAACAAATTATTAAAAAATGTTTCCTAATCGATTTTGTGATATTAAAAAATGTGCAAAAGAAAAACCAGAAAAATGTGACGCTTATTTCTTAAAATTAATAAATGACGAGCACAAAAGAGTGGACAATTTAAAGAATGAGGAAAAATTGGCAACCGCTGAAAATCCACGGATAAAATTCCAGGAAGAGACCTCCGATATATGTAAAGAATTACGAGATTGTAAACTAAATGATATAGTTGAACAAAAGCGACGGCAACAGTTGCGAGCAAACAGTCATGAATTGCGTCAGTTGGAAAAGCAACTTCAATCTGCATTGGTAACTAAACAGTTAAGAGAGCAACAGCAAATGTTAGCCCAGCAGAAACAGGATGAAGTACGCCGAAAACGTGAAGAAAATGCCAAGTTTGCTGCCGAATGTGAACTTGTGCGTAAGTCTGTACTACAACAGGAGGAGGAAGAAAAACACAAAAAGGAAGCATTCCGTACTTTATTAAAAAGTCAAATGGATGATTTGCAACAAAAACGTCGAAAGGAATTTGAAGATGTCATAAAAGATCGCGATAAAATGGAAAAGCTATTAAAACAAATACAAACAGATGAAATTACAGAACGCAGGGAGGCAGAATTACAACGTGTAAGATGTAAGCAGGAAATGGAAGAGTCCTATCGCAACAGGGAACTTCAAAGACAATTAGAAAAGGAAAGAAATGTTGATGATACCGAACGCAATTTAGCCTATCAAAAAGAATGTGACAAAGTAAAAGCCCAAATTGCTGCGGAAAGAAAACGCATTCAAAAAGAAAAGGAGGCTCTTAGTGAGCAAATAGGACAACAGTTAGCTACACTCCATAAGGAAAAAGAAAAGCGTGAAAATTTGCTACTTTCTCTTTTGGTTGAAGAGCGTAAAGCCAAAGAAGATGAACGCTACAGGGAAACCTTAAATAAACAATTGAAAGAACGAGAGAAATTACGCACAGAGTTGGAAAATTACCGCCAAGAAATTCAAATTCAAAGAGAAAAGAAATTTAAAGAGGAAGAGGAGAAATTCCGCGAAGAAAATTTACGTTATCTGGCTGAACGTGATAAATTGGATCAACTCTCCGATGAAAAGCGCCGTCGCAAAAAAATGGAACATAGTAAGGCACTAAGAGAAATGATTGAATTTAGAAGGTGCCAACGAGCTAATGAAATAGCGCAACGGCTTGCAGATTTTGAAAAATTAATAAGTGGCGAAAGAGAAAGGTAAGTTCTATATAATAAAAAAATCACACCTAGAAAACTTTTTTATATTCTACTATAATTTGAAGGGATCAACTAATTGAAGAGGAACGCATACGAATGTTAAGCTCTGCGCCAAAGGAATTATTAAGCTATTTGCCTTCCGGTGTTCTAAGGTCCTCTGATAAAGAGTTTTTGACTCTACCGGGACAGAAGACGTAATTATTGCAGTTATAATTCTACTGTTGCAAATTGCTATAGATAATATATTTTTTATGATTAAATAAATATATCGTCACCTGAAACGCAAACGGCCCTAACTAACCAAAAATTCAAAATCGATTTTAATGTATTGCATCAAAACAAATGTCCACACCAAAAATTGGACTCTTTTAACAAAAATTATCGATTTTATTGACCAAAAACAAAAGGCCCTATCTACAAAAATATTTCAATATTAAAGGTAAAAAGTCCAATTTATCGATTTTTATATACGCCATTGTCAACTATCATAACAAATGATATGTTTCACTATTAAACAATTTGTTTATTTACTACAAATAAATCGCGTTGATTGAAACAAACTTTTCAATATAAATAGTTTTTTGCTTCTCCTGTAAAATATTAAAAATGTTAGATAGGGCCGTTTGCGTTTTAGGTGACGATATGTATGTATATACACGTATGTACATATGTACTTAATAAATTGCGTATAAGCTTACTTTGCATATAGACTCAACATTACAGAGGGACTAAATTCATTAATCTCCATCTTAGATTAGTATTTTTGTAGATTATTATACCCTACACCACTTTAGTGGGGAGGGTATATTGGGTTTGTGCTGATGTTTGTAACGCACAATAATATTGGTCCTATACCCACCTTAAAGTATACCAATCGTCTCAGAATCATTTTCTGAGTCGATTTAGCTATGTCCGTCCGTCTGTCCGTCCGTCCATGTAAACCTTGTAATCAAACTACAGGTCGCAATTTTGAAGATAATTCAATGAAATTTGGTACATGATCTTCTATTGTCCAAGTGACGAAGCCTATTGAAAATGGTTAAGATCGGTCCATTATTTCACCTAGCCCCCATACAACTGAACCCCCCAATAGGGCTTGTAATCCTTGTAATCAAACTACAGGTCGCAATTTTGAAGATAATTCAATGAAATTTGGCACATGATCTTTTATTGTCCCAGGGACGAAGCCTTTTAAAAATGGTTAACATCGGTCCATTATTTCACCTAGCCCCCATACAACTGAACCCCTCGAATAGGGCTTTTAAACTTTGTAATCACACTACAGGTCGAAATTTTGGAGATAATTCAATGAAATTTGACACATACTCATTTATGGTACCGTAGACAAAGTTTATTGAAAATGGTTAACATCGGTCCATTATTTCACCTAGCCTCCATACGACTGAACCCCCCGAATAGGGCTTTTAAACTTTGTAATCAAACTACAGGTCGCAATTTTGGAGATAATTCAATGAAATTTGGCACATGATCTTTTATGGTATCGTAGACGAAGCTTATTGAAAATGGTTAAGATCGGTCCATTATTTCACCTAGCCCCCATACAACTGAACCCTCCAATAGGGCTTGTAATCCTTGTAATCAAACTACAGGTCGCAATTTTGAAGATAATTCAATGAAATTTGGCACATGATCTTTTATTGTCCCAGGGACGAAGCCTTTTGAAAATGGTTAACATCGGTCCATTATTTCACCTAGCCCCCATACAACTGAACCCCTCGAATAGGGCTTTTAAAATTTGTAATCAAACTACAGGTCGCAATTTTGGAGATAATTCAATGAAATTTGGCACATGATCTTTTATGGTACCGTAGATGAAGCCTGTTGAAAATGGTTTACATCGGTCCATTATTTCACCTAGCCCCCATACAACTGAACCCCTCGAATAGGGCTTTTAAACTTTGTAATCACACTACAGGTCGAAATTTTGGAGATAATTCAATGAAATTTGACACATACTTATTTATGGTACCGTAGACAAAGTTTATTGAAAATGGTTAACATCGGTCCATTATTTCACCTAGCCTCCATACGACTGAACCCCCCGAATAGGGCTTTTAAACTTTGTAATCAAACTACAGGTCGCAATTTTGGAGATAATTCAATGAAATTTGGCACATGATCTTTTATGGTATCGTAGACGAAGCTTATTGAAAATGGTTAACATCGGTCCATTATTTCACCTAGCCCCCATACAACTGAACCCCCGAATAGGGCTTTTAAACTTTGTAATCAAACTACAGGTAGCAATTTTGGAGAAATTTGGCACATGATCTTTTATGGTATCGTAGACGAAGCATATTGAAAATGGTTACCATCGGTCCATTATTTCACCTAGCCCCCATACAACTGAACCCCCGAATAGGGCTTTTAAAACTTGTAATCAAACTACAGGTCGCAATTTTGGAGATAATTCAATGAAATTTGGCACAAATGGCACGACAAAAAGCTGCAATAACCAAGTTGTATACTAGACTTGATGACCCCTACGAATTCCATAATAATAGGTTCTCATATGACCCTAGCCCCTATGAAAAGCCCCCATCAAAATTTCACTTAAATGTCCACAATTTTATTCAACAATAAACGGCTTAACAAATAACGGCAATTTTGGAGATAATTCAATGAAATTTGGCACAAATGGCACGACAAAAAGCTGCAATAACCAAGTTGTATACTAGACTTGATGACCCCTACGAATTCCATAATAATAGGTTCTCATATGACCCTAGCCCCTATGAAAAGCCCCCATCAAAATTTCACTTAAATGTCCACAATTTTATTCAACAATAAACGGCTTAACAAATAACGGCAATTTTGGAGATAATTCAATGAAATTTGGCACAAATGGCACGACAAAAAGCTGCAATAACCAAGTTGTATACTAGACTTGATGACCCCTACGAATTCCATAATAATAGGTTCTCATATGACCCTAGCCCCTATGAAAAGCCCCCATCAAAATTTCACTTAAATGTCCACAATTTTATTCAACAATAAACGGCTTAAGTATGTATATCTAAGGCAAGGTACAATTCAACTTAAATGCTTTATTATGGCAAATAAATCACATTATATTTTTGACAAAGGTGTAGGGTATTATATGGTCGGCCACGCCCGACTATAATTTCTTACTTGTTTTATATTAATTTTATTTTTGAAATTAAAACTCTATTTCTTTAATACTTATAGTCTAAAATGAGAATATTTTTTAACAAGAATCTGAAATCAAATGTTTAAAAAATTAAAATATTTACACAGTTTTACAACTTTAATTGATTTCCGGTACAAGTACCCTTCAACAATTTAGAAAAAATTATTAGATTTTCCGGACGCCTCCAATGTACATATGGGTTAAAATTATTAAGGGCGTGAATTTCTTTTATCCCGTCTAAAAGAAAGCCATTTCCATATCTGGCAACACTATTTTTTTGTTCTGTTATCACACTAAAGTGAATTGTATAATACCAATAGTTAAAAAAAGAAGCATTTTATTTTATTCGATATTAAAACACGTATCAGAGACTTGCGCCGATTCGGCTTAAGCCGACTAAGCCTAGCCGCCGAACAAAATGTCAGAGCCGCCGCCGCCGAAAATTGTTCAGCTTAATACGGCTTGAAAATTTTACCATATTTTGTACAATTTACAGAAAACTTTCGCTAAATTTATGGAATTTTACAATATAAAATTAATTTGTGTTCATTTAAGCAAGTTTTCTTTTATCTAATAATAAGCCGCTCATTGAAATTTGACCGGTGTAGAACTTTGCTTAACGTTCGATGTATATGCTTCGCCTCAGATATTTTCGTGTTTTACGCGCCTAATTCGAGTCGCTGCTTTTACTTCAAACCAGCTTCGTTGACGTCAACGGAGCTACACCTCAAGAAACAATTGTTAAGCCGCCTTTTATACAAATTTATAGCTTTGTAGAGAATATTCGGACGTTTAAGAGGTGAAAATTGTACCTATTTATACTTTTATAAAAAATTGTTTTTGGTTTATTAACTTATACATATGAATACATAATAACGGGCTCCCAATACGATGTTGCAACTGGTACTTTTTTGACTTAGAACTTAGAAACATGTAATGAGGCACTTGAGAATCTATAAAAGTGGACTTTTTGGTACTTTTTCGTTCTTCAAAAGGTACTTTTTGAGTTTTCTATTAAATTGAACATAGAAACATGAAATTATGCACGTAGAGCCTGGAGTAAATGTGAATCTATAAAATGGCACTTTTTGGTACTTTTTCGTTCTTTGACTGGTACTTTTTGAGCTTGCTACAAAATTTGAACCTCGAAACATGAAATTAAGCACTTAGAGCCTGGAGTAAATGAGAATCTATAAAATGGGAACTTTATCGTACTTCGACTGGTACTTTTTGAGTTTTCTATAAATTTAAACCTAGAAACATAAAAATAAATATGTAGAGCCCGGAGTAAATTATAATCTATAAAAAGGGACTTTTTAGTACTTTTTCGTTCTTCGACTGGTACTTTTTGAATTTTTTATAATATTGAACCTAGAAACATGAAATTAAGAATGTACAGCCCGGATTAAGTGATAACATATAAAAGGGGACTTTTTCATTCTTCGACTGGTACTTTTTGAATTTTTTATAATATTGAACCTAGAAACATGAAATTAGGAATGTACAGCCCGGATTAGTGATAACATATAAAAGGGGACTTTCTGGTACTTTTTCGTTCTTCAAAAGGTATTTTTTTGAATTTTCTATAATATTGAACCTATAGACATAAAATTAAACCTGTAGGGCATGGAGTAAGTGAGAACATATAAAACGGGACTTTTTGGAACTTTTTCGTTCTTCAACTGGTTCTATTTGAATTTTCTATTATAATGAACCTAAAAACACAAAACTAACCAATCAGAGACTTGAGTGAAGAAAATTTAAAATGGAGTATTTCTGGTAATTTTTCGTTCTTTAACTGGTACTTTTTGAATTTTCTAAAATATTGAATATATAAACATAAAATTAAACACGCAGTATCCTAATTGAACGAAAATGTATCTCGCTTACATCCATTTTGCAAAAAGCTCTCGATATCAATCGAAATCTCTATAGGCCATAATTGACCCTGCCCCCTTCAATAATTGATTTTAACGTTTTCTATGTACTTATCAATACCATAATAAAACAATTTTTGTTGGAACGAAAATATGTAATGTAAATATGTATGTATATGAAATCTTCTTCAGAAAATGACTTAAACGCACATAAATGGCTTTCAAATTTCGATGTCTACGAAAAAAATATTTTTAGGAACCGAAACCTACATTTATGAAAAATAAAATTATGAGGATCGGCCCGCCAATATAAC